AATATGTATCCAATGGATGTGACTTAATTTAGATATCATTAGTTGAAATATGTCATCAGTAATATAAATTAACTGATTCAGTAACAATGTTTTGCATATGTAGGAAAAGTCAGGCCCTTAATGTTTTAATATTAGGGAATGCAACTGTACCATAAACTGTAACTAATTTTATCTAATGAGTAGCCACTAATATTTTATTGTATAACATATACTACATAAAATTAACAAACAGCATGTTTTCAACCTTCTAGCTTGATGATTAATTTAGGTCAGACTCCCACTCACTTCTTTTTTGTTTGCGATACGCAGGCCTCTCACTGTTGTGGCCTCTCCCGCTGCGGAGCACAGGCTCTGGACATGCAGGCCCAGCGGCCATGGCTCACGGGCCCAGCTGCTCTGCGGCATGTGGGATCTTCCCGGACCAGGCACGAACCCATGACCCCCTGCATCGGCAGGCGGACTCTCAACCACTGCGCCACCAGGGAAGCGCCCCTCTCACTTTGATATGAATGAATCAGACCAGAAAAAATCTGTGGGACTCTTTAGCACCACCAAAGTAAGACTTTAAAATACCTCAGTGTATAAAGATACTATAGAAGCTATAAAAACATAAATATTGCTCAGCCTTTATTTGAATACAAGGAATATAATATATTTCAGAGTATCAAATGAACTTCTGATTATCAGTATAAATACTGTTTTGTATAATCTAGATTCATATTTATTAACAAGAGCAACATTTCCTTAAAAACTGTAACAAGCTATAATTGGATATAACAAACTGCTACTAAATAATTATGAAGTTCTAATAAAGAACTTCAGACAAATATGAAAGTTAAATCTTAGTTTAATTGCTTACCTCTTAAAATTTCCTAGATTCTCTAAGCCATACTGCAAAAAATGATCCAGATATAATGCAAAAAAAAAAAAAATTAAGGACCAAATTTTGTTTTGATCACATGCTGTTAAACTAGTGTTATATGCAATTTTTTTAATGTTAAGTGATACATGAATTCATGAGTCAGTAATCCATTCTGAGAATAACATTTTGGCTTTCTAAAATTTGTCAGGCTGTTCATTAACATACCTTACCAACAGTATATAAAAGCTTTTGAAGAAAACATTTATTGAATGTCAGCAAGAATTGTGCTAAGAAGTAAGGATACAAGATGAACAAGACCCACTATTACTCTTAAGTAGTTTATAATCTAGTAGAGAGGCAAATAAACAGATAAGATTTCAGTTCTGTGGGGTAAGTCCTGGGATAGAGGTAAATGCCAAAGGGTACAGCAGCACATTGTAGAGGCCCCTGACCCAGCGTGGCTGACAGCGCGGGGAAGAAGGAGGCAACCTGAGAGGCTTGTTCAGAGGGAGTGAAGCCCTCAGTGACTCTTCGAGATTTACAAGTTCTCCGGTGGGGAAGAAGTCCGTATGGGAAGAGGCTATAGCGCTAGCAAATGCATAGAAACCACAGACTCTGCAAGATTCAGGGAACTGAAAGAAGCCAGAAATAAGACTAGAGATACAGACAAGCAATTAAGTCTGTGTGCTTTACTATACACACTTGGGATTTTCCCTTGAAGGCAAGAAAAGGCCTGGGAAGGATATTAAGTAGAATAATGATGGGATTAGGTATGTAAATTAGGAAGGCCACTCTAGAAACAAAACAGAAAAAGACAGTTAAGAGATAAAAATAAAGATCCAAAATAAGGATATAGAGATAAGAGAACAACTTTGAGAGATATTAAAAATTAAGAATGGATAGGACTTTGAGATGGGGATGCAGGAGCAAAGGATGACTACCTGTTTTCTGAATTAACGTACTCAGTAGCTGATGATGCCATCCACTGCGATGGGAAGTAATGGAATAGAGGAGAAAGAGGGGAAAATTGTGAGAGGAGAGCTGCTGAGAGTCCATAGACCTCTGTGCTTCCAGTCAGGGATGGCTGCCAGAAGGTAGCTGAATATGCAACAATGAACACACATACTCATTAAAGACCATATGAATATATCAGGCTATTGTAATATTTGCTAACATTTATTGAGTTTTTACTCTAAGGAAGGCATGTGCTGAGTCCTTCTTATAACATCTTTTTATTATCCTCCCCACTCTGCAGTTGAGGAAGAGTTTGAGAAATTTCCCAATGGTATTTAAGTGTCAGAGATGTCTGATTTCACAACTCAAGTCCTTACCTTACGTTGTATCATGCAAAATCCATTCATTACAGGTTTTAGGACTAGATAACAGTGGGTTCAACTCTAATCTCTGCTACTTAAGAGTTGTTTGAGCTTAATAGTCTCTAAACCACAGTTTCCTTATCTGTAAAATGGTGACCATAACAAACACATTACAAGGATACGGTAAGGATGGGAGAGAATATACAGAAAATGCTAGATGTGCATTAAGTGCGCAAACTGGCACCTATTGTTATGTCTATGCCTAGAGAAAAAAAAACTCTTTCTTGAAGTAAAATAGCTATGATCTAAGTAAATTCCCTTTCATCTTATTATGAGCTCTCTTTTAATTTCACCCTATTTGTTCTATATCTTAATAAACACTAAGTATCATTTTTCAAAAAACTTTGAGACATTAATCAATATACTCTGGAAGATTTAAAGATTTCATTCAAACAGGAATCATTTCAATGTAATGGGAGTTGATTCTATAGTGAGGAAAGTCCAAATAAGAAAACTCAATTGTGATAAGGCATGGAGAGAGCTTTGGACTTGGAGTCAGAAGACCATTGCAAAGTCCCAACTCTGACTTGGGACTTAATAGACTCAAGTGTCCCTTTGCACATGGACAAGATGAACAGATGAGCCTGTATGTTCTTATAAGTCTAAGAATGCTGAAGAAGAAGGCTTTATGATGTTTATAAAAACCAAAGCAATTAAGCCATGAACACTTGATGCAAACTTCAAGTTTCCTGTGGTTTAAAGCAGAAGTGCCCACTCTTGATGGCCTATCAAACCACTCCACAGATCAGGAGCTGTCAATCTGACTCTGACGGGATCATAACCCTCAGACGGAGAGTTCAGTGTTGGCGAAGGAAAAGAGAAAGGGAGAATGCAGAGCAATCTTTCCTTCTCTCAAAATCTCTCTCATTCTCACCACCGATTCAGCAGCTGGGTTTGAGCTGAGGTCACCCAAGACTTCTGATTCTCAAACCTGGCTGAATATTAACAACACTGAGAACTTATTTTTTTTTTAAATACTGAGTTCCACAGCCCTAAAATATCACTGAAGGAAACTCTATACAATTTACAAGTGCTGGGTTTCACTTTGTAAAAGGTGGTATGAAGCATTTGGGGTAATAACCTCACTCTAATGGTAAACCTAAAACTATATTCTCTTTAACCTCTTTTAACTGTATTGAAGCAAAAATTTGTTCTTAAGTATATACACACCCTAAGGTAATTAACTGGATCAACCATCCCTGTTTGCACAGACTCCACCTGCTTTAGCTTTGAAAATTCTATGTCCCAGGAAATTCCTGGGTCTCTGGAAAACAGGGACAGTTGGTCATTCTAACACAGACACACACACACACACTCACGCATACTTGCACACATGGACACAAACTTTTAAGTAATCCTCAGTGTGTTAGAACAAAGTACAGATAGACAGTAGTCCTCTCATGAAGCATCGCCACCAAGATCATGTCATCATTCACTCAGGTACGTATATGGTCACACTTACAGACCTCTGACGCCACTGGGATCCAAAAACATAAAATGGCACGGCGACATATCATCATGCTCACTATCGTCCCTTTTGCTAGAGTTTACACTACCAATACTTATAATTCAATAACCAGAATTTAAAAAAAACTACCTTGAAGCCCCTGCCTACCAACTGCCTTTTGTCTACTTTTGTAAAAACTCGAGCCATTTCTGAGGAATAATATCTCTACTATTTGACAGATTTTTTAATAGCCTTATGGCATTGTAATTTTTTGTTACATTTTTCCTGTAATGATGCCATGTGAAATTAAATAATAATATAATATACAAAGAAATTAGATAATGGTCATGATGTCTGTCTGTAAATTTAAAACTTGATTAGCATTTCATCTAAATGAAATACTTAATAGAAAATAAATTAAATTAACTTAGAATGGCATGTATACACCAGAACACACATTATTCTGACTTTTTAAATTGAACTTGTTATAGAAATCGTTTCTAGAACCACATTATTATACACCAATACACTGTCCTCTATTGCCTGATGGAAACATGAGACTTTAAGTTCAAGTCATAATTATACAAGCTAATGGAGACTAGCATCAGTCTGCATAACACACACGTAGTAAGTACACGTATCTCCTTGCTTGTGACATCACTAGTTGTCTGTGGGAGAACAGCTTGGGCCGCAGTTGGCAGAACTGGGGGATTGTGGGGGAAGATCTCCCACTGACGCCAGTTCTACACACTAGAGAACTAGTGTCATGGAGACACTACTAATAAGTTAGGAGGAAAGGCCATATAAATCCTTTCCCTTTGATAAATCCGAATCTTAAAATGGTTGCCACCAATCTCGTGCATTCTTCACTCTCCAAAGAGCTTAGCAAATAAGGAAATCCCTTCAGGACTGTGGTCACCATCCTTGAAATGAACAATAAGCATGCTAGTAATATGCTTCTCCTTTCTGACATTCAACAACACATGCACTATTCAAGCACATCTGGAATAAAACCCAACAAGGGAGGTGTGTAAAGATGTTGAGACTGTCAAAACACTCGGCATGATTTCAATGCCCTCATCTTTCTACCACTGGCTTTACAAGTAGACAATCAAGGAACACCTCAAAACATGATATCATTAATCAGAAAGAGTATACATTTCCAAAGGTCTGTTTTATGATCTTGAAAGAGGATTTAAAAATCAACTAAAAAATAACAAAAAACTTGCTTTTTACAATATATTCTTTTTAGTATGATTTTGAGTAGTCTTACCACAACATTTTTCAGCAAAACTGAGATTGAATTAAGACTTACTGATTGTTCATTTAAATCCTGGGAGTCTTCCATGTGGTTTTCTTACTTCTCCTGCCACTCCCAAGTAGAAGCAGCTTCCTTCAATTAAAAATGGACTACCTAAGACAAAAAGATGAAAACAAAGTGGAAAAATGAAAAAGTTATCTTTCGAAATTATTTGTAAAATTACCAAAACTTTGATTTACATGATAGTTGGTAATCTGTAAAAGCATTATTTTTAAAGAACAAAATTCATTATCCCCGTATCTGATAGAAATAATGATCTTGAAAATCACATCACAGTAAAACTGAGATATATAAACAGCTACTCAGGCATCCTGCAGATAAGGAAAAACATCTGAGGACAGCTTCAGAGACCCAGGCTGTAATAAACACCTAGTCTGCTATTTTGCTGAGAGAGGTCTGTCATTAAGCAATTGACAGATTAAAAATTAAAAGTCTGCATTAACCATTCATTTTCTAAGGCACATAAAATTGAAAACATATAATGTGTATTTTAATATGACAGCTCTCTATTACAGGAAAATTTGTCTTAATCGCCAGACTCAGTTCTAAAACTTATAATGTTATAAAATGCACGCCCAATTTTTAAAAGAGAATGAAAATAAGACTATTATGCTAAAGAAGGTATTAGAGAAGTATGTGGGAAGGACAACTGGTCAGTAAACTACTAAAAAACAATTCATCTTTACTCCATATCATATATTAAAAATTTTCTAGGCAAACTGACGTTTTAAAAAAGTCTAAGAAAAATAGGCATATATATTTTTAATTCCCAGATAGAGAAGACTTATATAATAAAAGCAATAGAATAGAAAACAAAAAAGCCAAACACCCCCTTGAGTTCCCCACACACACAAATAATCACAATTAAAAGATACATGAAAATATAAAAAGAAGTATCTCCGCAAATATCAAACTCAATGGGCTAATGTCCTTAACATACAAAGAGCTCTTACAATCCAAATAGAAAGGCACACACACCCCTACAGAAAAATGCTCAATCACCGCAAAACGATGTTCAGACTCACAAATAAATGAAATGTACTTTAAAACAGCAACGATACATTTCTAGCCCTTCATATTCTAGTTCTAAAATAAAATTAAAAGAATATGAGAGATTAAAAAAGATTTATATAAAAAGTGTTCATCACAGGCATAAACAGATATAAATTATTAAATGCACGTTTCAAGGAATATTTGGTGACATCAAAAATTTCTGAGAATATAATTTCAGTGCAAAATAAGTATTCAAATCTGCAGAAACAATATGTTCCCAATTCAGTTTATTGAACATTCAACATATGCAAGTGTTTTGCTCAGTTTTACACATTCCCTACTACAACCAGGTAGGCGTGGTTTTAATTTCTGCTTTGCATTATGGTCTACAATAAACCTGTTACTTTCCTTATTAGAACACAAGACATTTTAAAGTGTAAATTGTTTTATGCGTAGACAAACACAGAGACACAGATCAAACATTTTTTTCTAATTTTTTTCTGATTTTCTCAAATTTTTTCTAATTTTAATTTTTTAATTTTTAAAAGTCATAAAATGGTAATGGTAACATGTAATGTGATAGTCTCAGTTAGATACTGATTGAGAATACTGCAAAACCAGAAAAGTGTCATTTTAAAGAAAAGCACAATTTTAAAGTGCATTTAAGATGGGAAGGGGGAAGTGTAGATATTAAGGCACACTGAGGTGTTGCAGTATACATCGGAATTCAGCAGGATAGGTAGGCAAGAAGTTCTAGATTTAAAGATGTCATTCTTTGTGTTGGAGGTGGACCTGAGAAACGGTGACTGGAAAAAGGCCAACTCTTTTCCTTTTACCTCACACCTCCATCTTTCTTCTCCCATTCTCCCCCATCTCCTCCTTATGGACCCTCATATCACATCTGGGTCTCTCTCTCTGTTCCTGCTTCCTGCTGATCTCTTGCTTGCTCCTCCTATCCTAGCAGGCCTCCTGATCCTTGGCCCTGCACACTGTCCCCTCCCCTGGTGACCAGGACCTCCCCGGCTCAGCCTCACCTTGGATATGGTGCACACCTTAGGATGTATGGCCACCAGTCTAATTGATGCTGACCTGCTAAGACTCAACACCTACCAGCATCATGAGCCCTTCCTCTCTCCTCCAGGAGGGAATCTTGATGGATCATATCCTTTTGATGGATGATCCATCACGCCATTTTCTCCTCACTACCTGGATAACAAATTAGCCAAACACTCTCCTGAAGGGGAGAATCTGATGTTCCTTTTCTTTCTAGTAGATGGGTAAGATGAATGGTAAAAACACTGTACCATAGTACAAAGGGAAGGGACACTATATTCAGCTATGTAAAACAAAAAAACAAAACAAAAAATTTGTATTTGTATTTCTGAATAGAGAAAAACAGACCCAAAAGTGAAAGGACACAACAGATTATGAAAAATATCTTCAATAAATATTACAAAACTTTGTGACCTTGAGAACAAAGAAATTGGTAAGGAAAAGTTAAAGAACCTTTTAAGGTACTTAAGCAAGGATGTGAAAATACAGATCATTATTTTAAATGTAAATAATAAATAAACATTTAGAAAAGTGTTCACTTTCACAGTTGCCAAAATATGTAAACTTAAGCAACAAGCATACATTTTGGATTCCTGTATACATCTTCAATAACTAAACCATTTTAAATATTACTAACACCCAGTGTTGGAAAGGGTACAGTGAAAAAGCTGTCCTCATTCAACTGCCACTGATAATGTCAAGTTTTCTAATATTTTTAGAAAGCAGTCTGTCACTGCATTTTAAAATATACTTAAACTTTTTTACTCAATAACTTTCCTAAGGAGTAAACTATTCCACTCCAAAAGTCACAAGGTATTCACTACAGTGTTATTCATAATACAAACTAGAAGCAGCCTCATCTTTGTAGAGCATTGATTAAACAAATTATGGTCAGTAAGTTTAATATAATATAATTTAAGGATCGAAAGTATAATTATAAAAATGACATGGAAAGGGCTTCCCTGGTGGCGCAGTGGTTGAGAGTCCGCCTGCCGATGCAGGGGACACGGGTTTGTGCCCCGGTCCGGGAAGATCCCACATGCCGCGGAGCGGCTGGGCCCGTGAGCCATGGCCGCTGAGCCTGCGCGTCCGGAGTCTGTGCTCTGCAGCGGGAGAGGCCGCAACAGTGAGAGGCCCGCGTAACGCAAAAAAAAAAGGGGGTTAAGAGACTACATTCCCCCCACCCATGTTCCAAATGTCTAGTCTATTCCTAGGGAAAGATGTAAAGATTGCAGGCCATCCAAACTCTTGTTCTAGCCCCTGTGCAGACTCTGCAATGGGGACAGAGGTGTGTGGATAGTCCCATCCGTAACCTCTGGCACAGCCCCCTTTTAACCCAGGTGGGAGCTTTGGAGGATTTATTACACGTGCAGAGTTCCCTGGGCCAAGGGAGGTGTCACTCCATTGTATTCCATCATTCAGAACAGCTAACCTACTGTTTGACTTGCAGATTATCAAACTTCAAGTTAATTTTCAAAAACATTTGTGTACCAAATTAAGGCTTACTTGCATGGGGTTATATATACACCTATTACACTGACCCATATTCAGCTTATAACACACTAGGTCCCCCAGGGCTTTCCGAGTGACACCAAATTACCTCAGTCTAATGACTCGTCACAGTCTCTTCCAGTGGCTTAGGATGTGGGCCTGGGAAAGTACCAGGCTAGTCCTCCTTCAGTGGTAAAATCTCTAGGACATAGAACTTGGGAGCTCTTTACTGCCATGAGTAAAAAGTTGATATGCTAGGAAGAGACAGAGAGGAGCTGACCCAGAAAGAGAATCAAAAGCGGGAGACGGCAAGAAAGTCCTGGCAGAATTGAAGTCCCTGGATCCTGTTACTCCTGAAGCCTCACTGTCTCTCTTGCTCTTCCTGCTGCTTCGTTGTTCAATTCTTCCTTGGATTCCATGAGCGATCCTCATAATCTTCAATTAAATTCTCTCCTTTACTAAGCATATTGTCTCACATAAAACTGCAATTGTATAAGAAGTCTAACAACTTATATTCCCATTACATTCTTGAGATATTATAGCTGGGATCAACTGTCAATAAGGGCGTTGCTTTCACATCCTCTGCACCAAGATCCCATCATTTCCCTACAAATTTCATTAATGGGTCTGTAAAGCTGGGTCAGGCACTGGCTGGTTTCAACTGCTCAGGCAGCATGCCAGAGAGGGAAGCCAACAGCACAAAGAACACCTAGCTCCAATTCTATGGCCATCTGTTCAGAGAGGTAAGATGGGCATTCTGTGACCATGCACATGACTCTTGTCCCTGCTTATACAAAAGGAAAACAGCAAAGGTGTCCAAGAAACAGATCTGGGTGAACAGTAATGCCTGACTTCAATCGCCTTAAATGAAGCCAAGCTACAAAGTAGATGCTGAGCTATTTTTGAACTGTTTACAAAGATAGGGCATGGACTTTGCAAAATGGTCCATTTAACACAAAATGTTTAAAAATAATGTGGTTAATTTCTCATGCTAAAAAATTATAACAAGCTGAATTTCATGATAATCATCTGGGTCCTTAGTGATAGGTGCATTTGATAGCAGTAATCTTCCTGGAATTATAAATTACCATCACTTGGTTTTTGACAATAAGGGCCAGCCAAGGTTTTCTATTTTGTTTGTGTCTGCTAACTGTTGATGGTTGGCTAGTCAACTTAGAAAACATAGACGCAGTTGTAACCAGCTGGTCTCAGAGACACATCTAAAAGAATTCTGAGCTCGGGCAACTTTTATTACACCTACAAACTCAGACCGACTCTGTAAACCTACTTTCCTTTTCGCGTGTTGCCCCTGTTGTTCCTCCCAAACTACACTTCACACTGACTGTTTCTGTATTCACTGTGAATAGTTCATCTAACTGGCTCTCCTGTAGCCTGGCAGAAAAAAAACTACCTGAGCCCTTCTTTATAAACAGTCTGATTTTTTCTCAGCCATAAACCTCTCTTCCATATCTAGGAACGCTTTCTGATGAAGAATATAGGACCACATGCATTACTGAACACACATCTGCTGCCTTTACACACTTCTGGAGAAAAAT